TATTTTACTAGGCATTTTCTATTGTGGGAAAACAGGAGGGGGGATTGTACAGAGTTAGATGCTATGTAGCCATAACAACATTCTTTCTAGAAAGCCAAGGTCATCCTTTGTCTTTGCACCTCTGCACCTGACCGGAAATGGATGGGTGGAACTACCAGCATGGCAGTGGGAGATTGGACCATAGGATGGACTTGTGGGTGTGGGGGCAAGTTCAACATTGTACCCTGGTGGAGAAAACCAGGAAGCTTTCAGATTCGGGTTAAGGTCCCAGATGTGCCAACTCTTAATAAATTGGGACTTTGAGGAATCCTTTGCCTTGGACTCTGGTTTTAATTTTGGATGCTATTTGGAACCCTGACACCAAACCTGCCTCGGATGGAGCCCACCCCCCACTCCCCCGCGCACACCTTGGTGAGGTTCTCAATCTTGAGCATGTCATTGTCGGCATCCCCACGCAGAACTCGTTGCCGCTCGGTGGCCACGTCCACATCATCTTCAATGGGTTTCGTGGACACGGGGAAACGCCTGGGGAGGGGGAGGGGGCAGGATGGTGCAAAGAAGCTGTTTTTTTCTCAAGGGGAGACTCAGCCCAAGGTCCTTCTGTCTGTCTTTCCCTCCCCAGCACGGATTTGCAGGACTGTGATTCCCACCCAGTCAGATGAGAAGGAAAATTCTCCCTTCTGGGCACGCCTCTTGCCACACTCACTGTGGTTTTCGGAGAAAGTTGTACTGGCACATGATGGTGATGAAGAAGCCGACGAAGCCTTCCACTGTCATGGCAACTAACGCCCGGGTCACGATGTCCCACTCAAAGGGAGACTTAATCTTATCAAATTGCCCTACAGGAGCAGAGGCATCAATTGGGGTGAGAGGGCCAAAGCCTCCCCTGAGTGGGGGCTTCCTTGGTGGGGGAGGAGGGATTCGTCTGAGGCCTTCCCAGGGTCACCAGGGGCTGGTTTCCTGCTTCCCAGAGCTATTTTTCCAGCAAAACACAAAAGCCCCAAAGATGCTTTTTCTTCCCTTTTAAGAAACGTTTCCCTTGAATGCAAGAGCCACCGGAGGTTGGGGGGGACGACATCAGGATAATTTCCTCTCCTCTCGGATCCCCCCTGGCAATCTAAGGCCAGCCGTCACTAAGCGAGCCAAGGTTAAGAAACTGCTCTGTGCATGTTCCAAACCTCACAACCAAAGCTCATATTCCTGGGAGGGAGACTGGGGAGGAGAAATCCCGGGGCTAGAGCAAAGGGCGGATTTACTGCCGTTTTGGAGAGGGTGAGATGGCAGCATATAAGCTGAACAACCAAATAGGAAACTCTAAGAGCCACAGTGGAGCGGAGGTCAGAGTGCGGTACTGCAGGCTCCTTCTGCTGCCTGCCGGCTGCCTGCAATTTGGCACTTCGAATCTCACCAGGCTCAAGGTGGGTAAAATGAGGACCCAGATTGTTGGGGAGGGCAAGAGGCTGGCTCTGTAAACCTCTTAGAGAGCACTGTGAAGCGGTGTATAAGTCTAAGGGCCATTGCTATTTACCGATCTTTGCGTAGTATTCGTTGATGTACTCATTGTAAGCCATCTCCATGAGTCCGTGGCCCAGGTTGTAGTTGGGGAAAATCAAGAAACAGCTTTTCAAGTAGCTGTTTACCACCTTCAGGTCCTACGGAGAAAGAGGCGCTAAGGAAGGGCTGCGGCAGCAGCGTCAGACCAGCCCCCTCGCCACAGCTCCCCTCCCAGCTCCAGCTCCCAGATTTGGAGGCTGCGCTGCCTCTGTGCGTGGCACGAGAGGCCCCTCCCCCACGTGGGTCCAGTGTTTAAGAGAAAGTCTCATCCTGGGACTCTCAGGGGAAGGTGGTTTTTTAAAAAAAAGTCCTTATTTTGGCTTCCTGCTCTGGTGACACCCACCTTGTCGTGCTCAAAGAGCTGCAGGAGGAACGTGGCCACGGTGGCCGTGATGCCGATGAAGAGGTTGATGACGATGAGGAAGACGTAGGCCGAGCTGGGCACCTCGAACCAGAAGGAGGCTGGGTACATGATGGGCGTCATGGACCACCTGGGGGGGGGAAGGGCGCAAGAGGCCCCAGACGGAAGCCCTCAAAGATCTGCCTGAGAATTTCCCACCCAGCTCCTTCCTCCGGAGGTTCAGAGGTAGACTGCCTCTAACAGGGGAGGCTCCATTCCTAAGCCTTACGGCAGCCTCCAGGTCAGACCCACACACCACAAGTGTCACTTTGGCCCAAAGAAGCATATCATGGAGAGTAAATTGAGCATGCCTTAGGCTGACACTGCCCCCACCAGGCCAGGCAGGGGAGACCCCCCCCTCACCAGGGTCCTGATGGCTCCTCCCCCAGCCGCCACTCACCCGTAGAGCAGGAAGAGGGCCAGCACTGCAGGGAAGTTGGTGGGAGAGGTGTAAGCTGGCAGGTCGAAGACGAAGAGAATAATGATGCAGCAAGTGGCTGGGACCAGGTAGTTGAGCTGGAGGGGAGGAAGGGCAGGGGGCCCAGGAGAGGTTCAGCATGGCGTCCCTCTGCTCTGCCCCCAAAGCCAGCCACCCCTCTGCCCCCCTAATGGCTTGGAGGTCCCAGCCAGCCCAGCCCACCCTCCAGCCTGCTGTAAGGTTTCCTAAAAATGCCCTAATTGATTCATGAGTTCGAGCCAAGTTTCAATGAAAAGCTAGCCATTTATTAGGAGCACCATTAGGCAAGGCCTCTTCACAGTCAGATCTGAGCTTTGTTTGATTTATAGCTGAACTTTACCCCCATCCCTCCCCTCCACTCAGTCTGGGTCATAAATCACATTCACCAATGAGGTGCACCCCTCCCAAGCCTGCTGCAGGAATCTGAGATCCGACTTCAGCCAACAGTGCGTGGAAAGCTCTCCCCCCCAACCTTCTCTCACTAGGATCACTCTGGGAGTTGACACCTACCATGTCCCAGACGTAGTTGGCCAGCCAGTAGATGACAGGGTCGCAGCCGCTGACGAACTGGAGGTGTTTCGCTTTGATGGACTTCTCAGCCACCAGAAAGACCACAAAGCTGGCCGGCACGAAGGACATGGCCACGATAATGAAGATGGCGATGACCACATCAGTACCTTGCAGGCTGAGGGGAGGAGGAGGAGAGGTTGGCCCGCTTGTCGATGTTCCTCGGCTTCCCCACCCTCTTCGCAGACCCCGGCCCTCTTTGCCCCAAAGCTTGGACAAGGCCCCTGCGAGGTTGGGATGGTACCCACCACCCCGAGGTCTGTGAATGCCCCGGGACTGCTCCAAGAGAGGCCCCTTGCTTGCCAGAGGGAGAAGTGGGATGCAAGGGAAACTTTACCCCCCCTGCCACCCCAGGTCATAAAAAGATGCTGAAAAGCAGTGCAGAGGTAAACCAAAAAGCAATTAAGAGGGGGAAAGGAGACCTACAGGTAATCCAGAGAAAGGCTGGCGCTGGTCTTGTTCATAGGATGGTTGGTCAGAGTGATGCCTGGGGGGCAGAAAGAGGGAGTCTGGCATGAGTGCCTGAGAGGGCTTCCTCTGCCAGGCCCACCAATGCCCATCTCCTCCTCCTCCAGATTCCCTCCTAGCCACATGGCCTCCTCCTCTCTCGCCTCCTCCCATGTGACGAGGGCAGAGCCTCTCCATGCCACCCGGTCGAATGCTGCCGCTGCCCCAATTCTGCCCAGCATCTTTTCCACCCTCCCTGCTCACCATAGGCTGCGCGGTTGCCCCTGCTGCTGGGCAGGTTGGCACGGAGGATGGCATTGTTGAGGGCGTTGAGGTAGGTGGGCATGCTGTGGTATCCTTTGTTGTTATAGTACACCTAGGAAGGCAGCGTAGGGAGGGGAGCGTTGGCCAAGGCTGCTCTCCCGCAGACAGGGCGCTTGAGGAGGGCAGCGGGCACAGAGGACCCTGGGAGGGAACGGCCCCTGGTAGCTGCCACAGGAACTCCCATTCAACCCAACTGCCTGGTGCTTCTGCCATAGACAGGCAGAGATTTAGCTGAGCCCCTACCTGGGCCGTGTTGCGGACAGCAATTTTCCGGAGCATCGGAGGTGCGTTTTCCCCAAAAGAGGCTGGGATGGATCTCTGGATGTTGCCGAAGGTCACCGCTCCATACCTGGGATAGAAAAGCAGCCACCACATTCACTCACAGGCACCTGCCAGAGCTCCTCCCGGGGGGGGGGGGGAAGACGCTCCCATCCCCACCATGCAACCAGCACGCACAGACCTGTGCAGCCGAAAGCGGTCCGATGTGTAGAGCAGATACTCGGAGACGTTGCGCCCCGTGATGTCCACCAGAATGTCCCCCGTCACCACCTTCATCTGGGGAGGGTGGCCCCCCACCCCGCTGGGGCAGGAGAAGCCGGTGCCCTGCATGGAGCAGGTGCACCTGATGGGTTCGTGGACGATGCTGGGCTGGGCCGGGGTGGAGGTGACCGTCTCTGGCAGGGAGGAAAACCGGGAGAGGTTTCATCCACCGAGGGGACCCAGCAACCGCGGAGGAGCCTCAGAGAAAAGCAGCTCAAAGGATGGAAGGGGGGCAGCCGTTCAATCAAGGGGGCTCCCGGCCACTCCCAGAGCCTGCCCGAGGAGCCCCCCCCCAGCCCCTCCCACAGGCACCACGGAAGCGCCATTTTCAGAGCCTGCCTCTGCGTCTCCAGTGTTCTGACGGAGGCTTCCCAAGAGCCTGAAGCAAATTCCTGGTCCTACAAAAAACCCTTTTTAATTGACTGTGAATTCTGCTCCTTCACATCCAGCAAAGTCTTTCAAGGGAGGATTTACAGTCACAGACCTTATCTGGCTTGGAGAGCTGACAGGCCGAAATCTGCAGAACTTGGCATGAGTCTCGGAGAGTCATGAACCAATTAAGCGAATTGATTGTCCCCTGCAAACTCCACTCCCCTTTCGCTCCTCTTTTATTTCCCCTGGGAGGGGCCATTCACTGTCCACCTTACTCCCAAGTCACTCCCTGTTCTTTAGCTCTTCCCTTCATCTAGCAACTCTGCGCATGCGCACACTGGGAACAGGCTCCAACTGTTCTTCTGCCTTACTGATGTCTGACTCTGAAGGCAGCTGATAATTGTCAGACGGCCCTGGCCCCCTCTCTGCCTCCGGCACAGAGCTCTCATCAGAGCCTTCCCCAGACTCCAGGACTGGCCCAGGTTCCTCCCCAACCTCCTCACTGTCTGAATTGGCTGCCAGCTCCACTGGCCACTGGTGGGCCACAATGTCCATCCCCCTCGAAGGCCGAGGGCCGCCCTTACCTTTAACGGTTGGCGGGAAGGTGGTGAAATTCCAGGCCCGCAGCAAGTCCTCGTC